TCGGGCGATGCTGACAGTAGTTCCCCTGAAGAAAAAGAAATCATTGATGTCATTTACGACACTTTTGACATACCAATACCTCATGCGGCCCCGGAGCAATGCCGTTTAAAGAGGAAAAGGAAAATGACGGATTTAATCGTTGTTAACCCAAAAAAAAAAAAAAGGTATTGAGATTCCTGTACAGTTAATACTTAGGAGGGGGTTGTTATGGTAATTTAACCACGCAAGCATGGAGTCTGCGAACTATAAATAGGAACAGGTACTGCCTTTTGGCGTGTGAAGTTTCCAGCAGTCAGCTCTGAGAGTCGGACCGAACATTCTTGCTGTAACACTCTCGTTTGTATATGTTTTTATTACTGTTTCTGTTAATATATTTGTTTAACTCAATTCTTCTCTTGTGTCTTTATTTCTAGCCCCTAACAAGGCCACAACATTTAGATTGGCAGAGTAGTGGTCAATTATAATATGAATGGTGAGCCTAATGTAATTATGTAAAAACCCCAAAATATCCTAGAAAATAAAAAAAGTTAAATAATAAAGATTTTATGCAACAGAGATGTGCTTCTAGAATAAGAACACTTGTACATGGAATCAGAAATTGACAACTGGGATACATAACGAGCATAGAGGGTTTGGAGAATACGATACTCACGGGACCTATTAAATGCAAGTGGGTAACAGCAAGTAACCGGTCTAATGAGCTTATGTAAACAGATTTTAGAACAGCGGCTGGGACATGTGGTAAGGAGATACACATTGCTTACTGCTAAAAAGGAGAGAAAGTTGTGGAGAGTCATGATTTTTCACGTCAGGAAGGCACACAGGAGATAAAAGAAGAATATAAGCAGCCTGTGCTTGAATACCAATAGTATTAAAAGTGTATGTATGGGAGAGTGATTACTGTAAACTTTCAGTTGTGACTTCTCCAGCAGGCCACAGATAAAATTGATAGATATTGGGAACTAGCAGCATGACCCGGCGTTGCCCGTGCTTGATTCAAAAATCGTACGACATACAGCAATCGCTATCACTTGACTTAAAATATTTTTGCCCTTCCTTGCCTTTAAAGGAGTGCCCTTTGCCGTGCTGATGTTGCTACATGCCTTACTTCTTGCCTATCTCACACTGCGAATTTTTTCTAAGCTCTATACCAAACATTAAATCTGTTACGAAAAAAGAATTAAACAAAATGAACACAAAACGATCAAAAAAGGACTCGTAACTGGAAAAACCGAATGAAAAAAGAATATTAACAACTAATACTTTTTCACACCCAACCCAGTTCTGCGGAATCAGAATCAACGTTGAGTTTAAGCAAGCGAATGAGCCAATTGGAGTAAAGTGCCATGCAGATTTAAATTTTTCCCACTTGTGACGAATGCAGCTATCAATTTTTTTGCATGTTAGCATGCTAGTTAACATTCGTGTCAGTCAGCTGTTGGCTCTCACTCTGGCCAGTAGAAAATGGCCGCAAGCTACATGAAAACTGCCGAAGAAGCCTGAAAAAAATCGATTATTTCCACTATCGTTGGGAGTTGGGAAATGCAAAGTCGGTTTTGGCCTTGCCGCTAACTTGGAGCATGTGCATGTAAATTTTGGTGCAAATCCGTCAAAAATTGCGGCCGTGCATTCGTTACACACACACACACACACACACACACACACACACACACATCCTGCCTTTTATAGATAGAGATATAATAAAATAGCAGAAAATAGTGAATTGTGGACATCATAAAATATAAAGGCAATGTTCGCGAGTCTAATCAACAGTCCAACGGAGATTAACTCAAATACTCTTGCAAAAATATTGGAACAATTACAGATATGAGAAAAAATTGTGACAATTCCAAATATAGGATGTACGCATGTCCCGTAACCGATTATGGTCGTAGAGATATCACATATACTGTAATTATAACAACAATGGTGTACGTATTGGGCAAAATAGTTTGGCTGAGTTCAACCATCTTTAGGCTGGTTTTTGAATTATCGTTGGTTTTTGACTTTTCTTTGTCTTAGACTGTTTGCCCTCTCGGCAAGAGATCTCGTGAGACCGGGGGTAGCTGTTCGTCAACATTCTAGACAAACAACGCGATCCTCGACCAAGCTTTCCACCGACCGGCCAATGATCATCTCCTTTTGCATTTCGATTCACAATCCTGTCAGTGTCTACCGAAAGCTGGGAAAGGGCGTGCTGCATGCTCACAAGATGAAAGAGAAACGCTACGTCGAGGAATTAAAACGCGAATCCTTTTTACCATATTATAAAATAGACGTTTTATTCAGGGCTTCGCCTGCTCGTCTGGGTGGGTAGGTAGGTGATCCTTGGGACAACTTCTGCTATGTTGGTATAACAGTGGTGTTTGGCTACAAATGGACGGCACGGGAACCACAACGGCGGACCAGAACCCTCCCTGACCTCCAAGCGTGACTTTCAAAATAGACCATTATGCGGATATACCCTATATCCGGTTTTGTTGCTACTTGATCTCCAAAAAACAGTAATCCACTCCTTTACTTCCGCGTTACCATTCGGTGGATGCCGCTTAGAAGTCCGCATTTCAAAAGAAGCCTGGACATAAGACAGAAAAACGTAAGCTCGAGATAAAATCATCACTTCCTTTACTATATGGGTGTCCATAGTATCAGACTCATGCCTTTTGCAAGGGCATTAGCACGAAGTGGAAAAAACAGAATCGAGCGGCAATTGAACTCGGCACACCTCATTCACTTTCCGCGCCGATATACACTACAACATTCACGTTTCCTTTCAAATACAGTACCGTTGTGAAATCCTGTTTTCACTTGATACCCTAAATGTGACAGTAACGTAAACGCGTTGCAAGTGGGACAATCCTAAATAGCCAAATAAAGAAACTGTAGCTCCAGAAAACACTTCGAAAAGAATTTAGAACTCACTATTTACATTATTCGGACTATTGTCCTCATTGTTGTTGCCATATTGTTGTAGAGTAGTTTTCACAGTTGAGGCTTGTATTTCACTAAGTCGGTCCTAAATTAGGAACTTGAAAATAATAGTTAATGACGCAGCAATCTAGTTGTGGTCGTTGATACTTCAATGTCCGACATCGACTGATACACCAACTCCACTGAGCCCCACTGGCGACTGCTACTACTACTACTTATTATCTGTGGAAGAGTTTATTAACAATAGAATAGGAATGTTCCGGTATAACACATATTTATCACAACGTTTCGTCCGTTGTACGCCCCAGCCTTCTTCAGGTGGTTGAAATGTCGAACTGAATTTAGAAATCACTACTGCTGAGAATACCTGTTGTCACTTTACCCCTATAAATTGTATAAAAATGGTGTGAATATAAAATATGACTGGCACTTAAACGATTTACCGCCAAGAAATGAGAATTAGATCTTTTTGATTCAATCCATCTGCTAAACTATTCCTTTGTTGTGCTTCATCATGATCTCCTCTGTAACCCACAGTATATTTTTCTCCCATCACCTCAATCTTTCTATCTAACGTGACGTCATTGAGAACATCAGATGGCTGATTATCGTCAGTTCTTTCGAGTAGAAGTCACTAATTTCACGTCGGACTTTTTGGCACAAAGCTATCATCGCCATTACGAAAGAAGGGACGGTAATGGATCGCTTACGAGTAACTGTTTAATGTTCTTAGAATCAAATCCCAAATCGAGGCTCTCTCTCACTCTCTCTCTCTTTTTCTCTCCGCCCTCCCCGGTGCGTTTTAAAGGTATCTGAAGCCGCTGATAGCGTTTCCGAATTGATAACTCTAAGAGCTGACTCTCAAATTTTGCGCTCTCATTTTGCTAGAGTTATGCCAGACAGACATTTCAAGTTCATAATTTGTCATTTTAAGCATAGTAATCAATAAATGGTTCGATTTGTTCTCCGCTATCGAGAAAGGATATTATTTTACAGCGTTTCTTGAACCGTCCAATTAAAAAGCAGTTTCTATATTTATAAATAACAGTTGAGCTGAAATATTTCGAGCGCAGCATCTCGCTTTTTATTATTTAAATGTCACACACGCACACACACACACACACAAGCGCACACTTATTCTTGTCAATACACGCAGACTTGTCTGTCAATAATGACAATATAGATAGCAGCCATTTAGCTGTTTTTACTCTGTCAGTGAAGCTTAAAATGCGCCGACTGCATCGGATTACCTTGAATTGGAAAGTAGTTAGTTGTTTGCAGACTCGGGTATAGATGTAATATTTTAATTTGGTGTGGGCAATAAAATTATAAGTCCCTTAAAAACTGATTTATAAGAGTAATGGGTTTGCAATAGGAGTAGGTTTGCCTATCGTTCGGTTCTCACAAATCTTCAGTCTTTTGAACAGGAGTAGAGGTTTATCCCTTGTTTCCTGTTTAGGACTGGGTTTCCAGTTCCTTCTAGAATCTACTTCAACACAACTAATTAAATGTTGATCTCTTCAAATCTAGAATTCGCTGTTGTCTTTCCTACAGAGCACCCAAAACTTCACTTCTTGCCCTTTTTTACGCTAATGCACCGCACAGAAACCATCTGCTATGAGTGGCTCTTGGGCTTTGTATTGGGTGAACGTTAATAAAAAATCAAGATAGATGCAGAAAATTATTATTAGTTCTTGGACTAGATATTTTTGACTGTCACTGGTCACACCCAAGAAGTCTTCAGATAAGATCTAGACATTCATACAAGACAATGCTCCTTTATATTCTGCGAAATTGGCTATTTCCCAAATTGTCATCTTAAAGATGTATGGAATGATCCCAGTCTCCCCTAATATTTACCCGGCCACCAGTCCTTTTTGGGGACATTGAACATTAGTTAATGGTTTCCAGACACAAACCCAAAATGAATACCAGATTTTTATAAAAATTAAAATAATTTTTTTTTAATAATACCAGATGTAAAGTCGGCATTAATGAGCCAATCCAATAGTAAAGTTGGATCTCATCAGTAAAAGAAGCATTCTTAGTACTAGAACACATTTAAATGAATGATAACTCTTCTTCTTCTTCTTCTTCTTCTTCTTCTTCTTCTTCTTCTTCTTCTTCTTTTTCTTCTTCATCTTCTTCTTCTTCTTTGGCTGCTGCTGCTACTACTACTACTAAGTGCTGTGTTCCTTCAGGATGTGGATGATCATGACTCTCCACACCGTTTTATCCTTTGTTGCTCTTCGTAAGTTTGCCATTCATTTACACAAGCCTGCTTTCTTCTGTTTCTCTTTCTTTCAATATGCCCTGTGAGAGTCAAATTCTCCAAGCCCTTTTTCTTCATTTTTATATCTAAGAAATGTCAGATTTCTTTCTGATTCTAAGTATAAGCGTGCTTTTTCTTTCCATTTTCCTGAAAACTTCCTCGTTGCTCACATGTTCAAATGATATATTAATTCCTACTATATTTAAATGAACGGAGTTGTGTATGAAGATAGAAAGCAATATTCAAGCAAGATACATTCTGGGAGTAATAAAAACCGCTGCAAGACATGTCGAAACAGTAAAAAGTTAATAAAATCAGTGGTAAAAATATTGGTGAAGGTTATACAATGTCAACGAATGATATTACGTTGTTATATATTTGTGGCCTGTATATTTGTGAATTATTTATAAAGCTTTATGCCACTTATTAGCAGGTACTATTAATAATAATTTGAATAATAATAATAATTTGACACCCCTAAAAAGTGAACATTGATATATGAAAATAAGGAAGTGTTATCAGCTGAAACTCGCTCGATGAATTTCTCATACAAACGTTTTGGAAAATTTATCAACATCGAATAAAATAATAACTTGATATAATTTTGCAGAATAAAACGTCATTCTGTATATTTTAGAATAGGAAGTGAATAAAATTAATGGCTACTGCAACGTGGTAAGACATCAGTTTCTATATCAATGTCTAATGACTTTCATTTCGTCTGAAAAATGGCAGGTGATGGGTCCTCTTGTCATATGACCGTAAATGATGAACAATCTTCTCACAGATGAAAAAGAGGCTTCAAGTAATATAGACGTGGTTCTACAGGAGGAGGATGAGAATGCCATGGACCGAATAAGTGAGCAACGACGAAGTTTTAGAGAAAATGAAAAACAAAAAGTACACTTAGACTTAACATCAGAAAGAGACTTGAAATTTCTAGAGCATATAATGAGGAAAGAAGGCCTGGAAAATTTGATACTCGCAGGACAGAATGAAGGATATAGGGACAGAGGAACGCAGCGCATAACCTAACTAGCCAGCTTGAGTAAACGAATGACAGAACAGAGTTTAGGAAAGATAAAACAAAAGAACATTTTGTAAGAGTATTGGATTACTGCCCCCTGACAATAATCACAGGCGGTGGGATATTGAATTACATTTTCCTGGCGATAATTACAAGCGGTGGGAGATTTGAAAACTTTTCCCTCTTTCCTTTTTGGACACTTCACAACATTAGCTTCATTTCTCTTTTTCCTTATTGTAGCACGTCCGTTTGATATATTTATTAATACTTGTTTGTTTAAATTGTTTTATTTTGTCCGGGCACACATGAGTCCGCCAATATTGTTTGCGTGAAAAATGCACCGGGAGCCCATGAATATTAACTGAAAAATATCCACCCCTCGCAAAAAGAACGATGATCTTTGCAACAAAGGATAGGAAACTGTGGAGAGCCATGATCGACAATATCATGAATAGACGCGGCACAGAGAAAAAGAATAATGTTTCAGCGTTGTTATTTTATTAGAAACGTCTTTGAAAGGTTTTGTGAGCAACATTGTGCTCATTATTACGCGTAAAATGAGCCTTTTTGCCTTCAAAACTAGCATGCGTAGTTCGAATTGAAGCAGGGTACGATTATCAAATTTCACTTCAGTTAAAGTTATTGCTCGCTCCAAGAAAATCATATAACTGCGCAAAGCTGGCCCAAGCAAAATTCAATTCTTATAATAAGAACAATTCTTGCCAGAGCGTAAGCCTCGCCTGTTCAACGTTCCGCCAAGCAAAGTTTTCATGCGTGTTTTATTTGAAATATAAATTCTTTATGCAACACGTCACAAAAAAGAGGAATGGAAGTTTGTGTTGATGTTAACATCGGGATAACTTATTTCCTGTATTTATCACGGGTACATGTATCCATAACTTCATTCGGATTCGGGCGAGGCTTTAGACGTCATGTTCACACCCCTCACAAATCTGCGGACACTGCTAAGAATGTCCCCAAAATCGACGACGTTCATTTTCTCTTTTCATGAACCAGTTTAAAGAATATTCCTTTCTTTCTCTTTTGTCCAAGATTTTTTTTTTAAAGAAATCAATACTCGACACAGATGCAGGTACAATAACAGTCCAAAAGAGTAAAGTCTGTCTGTCTGTCTGTCTGTCTGTCTATCTATCTATCTATCTATCTATCTCAGCCTGTTCCTATCTATCTATCTATCTATCTATCTATCTATCTATCTATCTCAGCCTGTTCATATCTATCTATCTATATCTATCTCAGCCTGTTCATATCTATCTATCTATCTATCTATCTATCTATCTATCTATCTATCTATCTATCTATCTATCTATCTCAGCCTGTTCATATCTATCTATCTATATCTATCTCAGCCTGTTCATATCTATCTATCTATCTATCTATCTATCTATCTATCTAAGCCTGTTCATATCTATCTATCTATCTATCTATCTATCTATCTATCTATCTATCTATCTATCTATCCCTGCTTGTTTACATCTAAATTGTGAATTGATCACCTATATTATACATGGTGATTTTCTAAGCGTAACTTAGATGTGATACAAGGCTAAAAGTATGAGTTACCCAGTGAGGATCGAACTCACTATTTAGTCGTAATTAATCTAGCATCCCCTATATTGCATATGATCCATTATTGTACATAATTAGGTTAAAATAAAGTTTGTATTTTATATGAATTCTACCTTATGAAAATTGAGATGTACAGGGCGTTCCACAAGTCGAATTACCATTGATAACCTTGTAATTTTTATATTTATTCACGAATAAATGTGAGAATATATTATATGTAAATATTCATTATTCATCGAAAATACTTTTTTTAAACAATAATGTCCATAATATAACTTATTCACAAAAGCAATTAAAAGTTGTTTTTTTTTTCAATTAAATAATAACTTAGTTTCATTGTATTTTTTTATTTTATTATTTAGTGCTGATTTTCGGTAACTGTGAGTCCTGTTTTACAAAAATAAAATGGATAATTTAAAAATAAAATTAAATTAAATAAAAATAAAATAAAATTGATGATTTAAATTCTCCAAGCAGTTCAGCGTATAAATGATATAAACATTAAACGATACAAAATTAATTTCTCGAAATTTTATAAAATTAAATAAGTGGGGCAGGAGGGGGTGACTGATTGAAAAAAATATTCTTACCAAGATTTTCTAAAAAAGAAACCTTTCTGTCTCTGAAAGTTTCATTAAAATTTGACAATTATTTGATTTTTGCAAGAATTTCCAAATCCATGTTTTTCACCGCAAAAAAAAACGACGCTAAAGTTTCTATACTAATTCATCGTCCCCCAGCTGACGCAAGAAAAACAAGAATTTTAACCAAAATTTCCAACGACCTAAAAAGGATTAATATATATATATATATATATGAGAAGAGGATTCATACTTTCCCCATGGGTATTAACATGTATGTGAATGTAATGGATTCGACTGAAATTTGAACCCGGCTCTCCGATTCCTCAATCCTCCGATATTTAAAGCTATAGCTTGAGTCTCGCTGTTCCTATTAAAATCTCGATAGACAAACTCAGTCATAACCATTAACACACCGGCGGTTGACCTAAAGAAACGAAAGCCATATTGTTTATCTGAAAGAAGAACGTGTGAGATGAGAGGTTTAACCAATTCAAAGTTAATTAGAGATTCTAGTCAGTCAGTTATATGTGTACATGACTGACGAGGCAGATTTTTTCCCGCAGTAGATTGCCATTTCTTTCTGCGGTAGACCACTTGCCATCCAAGGTCTGCCCTGCTTTTCACTCATAAAGAAGAAGAGGGTTCCCAAAGGCATTTAGCACGTAAGTGAATGTAATGGATTTGATTGGGATTCAAACTCGGCTCTCCAATTCCTCAATCCGAGCCGCTATCCATTACTACACTGTGCCTCTGTGTATTTGATTATAATATCTAAATCAATATTTAAAAATAGTTTATTAATATATTACTTATTTCATTACTACAAATAATGTAAATACGAGAATACTTTTAATTATATTCAGATGTGTTAAACAAATTAAAATAACATTTATTTTATTCATGATATTAACCTATTCGAAATGAAAATATGATTTTTCCTTGTCTTAACTTTAATGAATAATTTTCTTCAATGACGTTCTTTCCTAAAACCCTTTTTTTATGAGGTTGGGGGTGGGGAGTTGCTTTTTCTTCGTTCTATGTCTAGCAGTTTCATTTCGTATCCTGACTAAAATCATCCTTTTGTTTTTAAATCCCCGAAAACTTGTCACCCATCTCTGACTGGCTTATTTTTTTGTGACTCAGCACTAAAGGTAGCCAATCACTTTGGTCATTTTTCCAGTCGAATTCTCAACCTTTTGTATGACCTCAGACAAGCGGTCAGGTCAATATTAGGTGTTTTTTCACCCGTGTCCTAATTTTCAAAACTGAAGCACGTGGTGAAATTCCCACAAGCATTCAATGAAACAGACGTTTGAACTGAGACACTTTTTGCCAAACATATAGAAAACAAATTGCAATAAACCCCATCTAATTATTTTTTTTATATTTGAAGTGTGTCTGTGGCGCCTTTCGTGCTATCCTTGTTTTCCGACATGTTATTTTTTGTTTTATTTTTCTATTACTTTTATAAATTCTTTGTCGAACGGTTTTCATGTTCATCATATAAGAATCTTATATGACAAAAGTGAATATAAATGGGAAACGACTAATAAAAAAAAACATATTGTAATTATTTCATTTCTTTATGTATTTTTATTCTATTATAACTGTTATATCTCGTACAAGACAAAGTAAACCCGAGTGTGGTTTTCAATAATAATTTTATAATCGGATGTAGGTATGTCAAAATACAGAGACAGCGTAGGAGTAAGCTAACCGCAATGGTGTTAGTAAACGAAGACCTTCTTTTTTTGTCCGCCTCTACTGTTTACTGTGGTCGTACTTTATCGGCCACCAGAACGTCCATTATCGTGAATGGGGAAGTTGGGTTATCTCATCACAATAACAATAAAGAAGAAATTTATAAAGATATTTTATTCAATTAAATCAGTTTTTCCCAACGTAGAAGCTAGCGCCCTCTTATGGCCTCTGTTATGTTGAAAGGGGGCACTGGGAGTTTTTATTTCATTTGGACGGGCGGTGAAAATATTCAGTGGGGGCGGTGGGTATTTATCCATTTTTTTTTTTTTTATAAATTTTCAAAAATTATTCAATATTGGCTCCAAGAGGAAATTTTTAAAGGTATCTAAAGCTGTTAGAAGCTATCAGACTTTTCTTCATTATTTTTCCTTCTTATATGGCTGAATGTGGTTTCAACGCTGTTATCCAGCTTTTTACTAAACAAAGAAACCGTGTACAGATGACAAAACGAGGAAATCTACGATTACTTCTAAGCAGCATGGAACCTAAGAGTAAAAGACTTAGCCAGTCAGCACCAAAGTCAACCATCGCATGGAAAACATTGGGATAAGCAACAAATAAATGTTTTTTTTTAATTAGCATTTTAATTATTGGTATTTATAATAGAAATGAAATCAATATTAAAATTATTTTTGCACTAATACCTAAGTGTTATCATGATAAATGATTAATTCAACATAATATTCGAAATTTAATTTGGCAGAGTGGCGTTGACAAAAATGTTTGTGTCCAAAGTGAGTGCTGGTTGAAAAGTGGGTTGGGAAACACTGGTCTCGACTGACGGAATCAGAGTTTCTTTTGAAGAAACAACATGACCCATAACAGTGATGCTGTATCTGGAACAAGTTCTTAAAAGACTTGCAAAATGAATTCAGTCGTATATGCAATTAACAGACGTTATATTCTCGGATGATGTTTGTCGAATGAGTTGATCGAAATATTTGAAAAGAAAATCAATAAATAATTGTGAAGAGGTGGTCGTCCAAAAGAAATCTCCCGACATTTATAGTTTAGATTTTTTTTTTTTTTTTTTTTTTTTTTGGTAATTACAGCGAAGGTATCGTGAATGAGGGCAAAGTTTATTTATTAGTTGTAGGTTTGTTATTCCTTGGTATTTCCATTGTCTTTCACTCCCAGTAGCTTCTTGCGTCTTAGTGGAATTTGATTTATTTGTATTTAGAAACCGGTAGTGATTTGCTATAAAGTTCTCAATTTGACAAAGAAGCATTTTGGTTATCATTACCCCCCCCCCTTCGATCAAATAAAAGATTGTTTGTTTTTTCTAGCCTTTTAATCAAACTCATAATAAAAAATGAAAACAATATTAAAATTATTTATGCACTAATACGTAAGTGTTATCTTGCTATGAAAGATGAATTCAGTATAATATTCGAAATTTAAGTGGGGGCACTGACAAAAAACATTTATGTCCAAAGGGGGCGTTGGTTGAAATAAAGTTGGGAAACACTGCATTAAACTGTTGAGAATACATATTTTATCGTACTATAAAAACATTTTGTAAGATATTTAATTGCATTAAATTGTCATTTTTAATTGTATTATAGAAAACATTAAATTGTTTCAGATACGTTTTAAATTGTGTTAAAAAATGTTTTGTGACGATATTTAATGTTTTTAAATCGCTGGGGATTCCTAATTGATTTTTAATTGTATTATAAAATAATTTTTTCATACACGACACTATAGGTGGGGCTTGGGTACTCTAAAACCACCTTCACACATCTTCCTGACATTGAGAAGAAAAAAGAACACAAAATGTGTTTTCTTGAGCTCCGTTTATGACAATGCTACTGAACAGAACTGCGTCTTCTTCTTCTTCTTCTTCTTCTTCTTCTTCTTCTTCTTTTCATCCTCCTTCTTCTTCTTCTTCTTCTTCTTCTTCTTCTTCTCATCCTCCTTCTTCTTCTTCTTCTTCTTCTTCTTCTTTTCATCCTCCTCCTTCTTCTTCTTCTTATTCTTCTTCTCATCCTCCTTCTTATTATTATTATTATTATTCCTCCTCCTCCTCCTTCTTCTTCTTCTCATCCTCCTTCTTCTTCTTCTTCTTATTATTATTCTTCTTCTTCTTCTTCTTCTTCTTCTCATCCTCCTTCTTCTTCTTATTCTTCTTTTTCTTGCCGTGTCCTTCCCGGTTGTTGTTCATCAGGGTTCTCCACAATTTTCTGTTTTTTTTGTAGCTCTTAATAACTTGTGTCTGTTTGTTATCTCTTGCTAAGTATGTAATGCGCTGTTTTTCGCTGTCCCTCTTGACTTCAATAGGCCTTGAGAGTGTCAAATTTTCCAGGTCCTCCTTCTCCATTATATGCCCCAGAAATCTCAACTGTCTCTTCCTGGTGTTAAGTATAAATCTCCTTTTTGTTTCAATTTTCTTTAAAATTTTGTCGATGCTTGCATGTTCGTTTCCTGGTATTCTCAGCATCCTTCTGTAAAGCCACATTTCTATTTTTCAGCTTTCTTCATCTCTGAGGAGATTTTCCAGTATTCACTGCCATACAAGAGGACTGACATTACGTAACAGTCCAAAAGTCTTTTCTTTGTTTCTAAAAAAGAATTTGTTTCTTAATACTTTGCTTCTGACGTTAATTTTCAGAATACATCAGAAAACTTCATTTTGTTTTGTTTTTTTGTTTTTCCTCTTCGAAATATCAGATTCTAAAACTTTTATCTTTTATATGCGGACAATGTCTATAGGTATCATCCCAGAAAATACGTACAAGCAAAATGCCCCCCAAAATGTCTATATATGAAATTGAAAAATATGTTTGCAGTAAGATAATAGATTAAAAAATATTCATTTTATGAGAGGATCAGTTAAAAAGAAATGAATAACTTTACGCCCCCCCCCAACACACACCAGATGTAATATCTTATTTGCCTCCCCCACCTCACTCCACGTTTCTTTTTTGTAGTCACGTGGTTGATTTTCCTACACACAAATGGTCTATGTGAGACTAGTTAGAATTTTCACAGAGTGATTGAAATGTTCCAATAAAACAATGCAATCAGCTTTATTTGTCATGTCCGTTCAAGACGAACTAAATCCGCCAACAAGACTTCTGACCGGGAGAAATGGAGCATAGAACCATCTCTTAATTACATTTCTTCCCATGTCTAGCCTGACCCGTAGTGATAGCACCTGTTAGGTTCGCAGCTATGGGTAAATAGTTCCCCACACCCGCAAAAAAAAAAAAAAAAAAAAATACTATGAAAGTATAAAAATACATTTTTATAGTAAAAATACCAGCAATATATTTTATATAAAGTGACCAACATTACTTATTTATACTAAAACCAACGATACTTTTTAAATCAAAATGACCAGCAATATATTTTATAGTACAGAGTGATCCGAAAGTCCTTATATAATATAATTTTCTATTTCAACGCTCTGTTGGGTATTATCAAGGAGGGAGTTTCACATGAACGATACCAGAATACCCACCATTTGAAGGACGCCCTTCGGAGAACCTTTGCAACAATCAGCAAAGCACAGCTTCGTATATCACACAGGACATGTTGCAGCATCATTTTCTGTTACGGAAATGATGTTATTCATACAGACCGTCTTGGTGTGTGACAGCGTCAATGAAAGTGAATAAACTGAATCCAGTAAGCATGAAGTAATGGGTAGCGGCTCGGATTCAAGAATCGGAGAGCCGATTTCGAACTCTCGTCGGGTTCATTCAATTCGCTTTCGTGCTAATACCCTTAGTAAAGGTATGATTCCTCTTCTTCTGCCCCCAGCTACGAGTAAATAGCAGGACAGGCTAGGATCTTTAGCCTTGGGTGGCAATCAGTCTAAGAGAAGGAAAGGCTATGGGGGGTCCCTTCTCGTTAGTTAAACTAATTAGGGAGCCCTTCTCCTCCCTGCTACTCTAAGTACATGTGCTTTGTATTACTTGTTCTGTTGTTCTCATTACTTTTTGGTAGGACGTAACAAGACTTTCGGACCACCATATAGAATAACCAACAATACATTTTAGTGATTTTCCAAGCGTAGCTTAGATGTGGCACAAGGCCAAAATTAGGGGGCACCCAGTGAGGATTGAACTCACTACTCGTAATTGCTCTAGCGAGCCAAGCTTGCTAACCATTATACCGCCTTACATTTTATCTGTAGTTGAAGGCATACAATTGCGTTCAAAATATTTAAATTTCGGCATTCAATAACTCATAGACGTTGATATACACTACAGCTAAACAAAATCAGCCAACTTTCAGGATTTCGACAGTCATGGCTGTCCACAACGTGATATCTTTTGGACTTTTAAGAAATCTTTGTCCCCTTATTTTCCTTCCCATTACCTATTAGCCATCCATTTATACAATCTTGTTAGGTGATCATGGATCTCCACAACTTCCTATTCTTTGCAGCTGCAACCAATATTTGTCTCTTTACAATCCTTCCTATTCCCTGTGCTGCTATCCATTTGCACCAACCTGTTTAGCAATCTCTCTCTCCCTCTCCCCCTCTCTCTCTTTCCCTCTCTCTCCTCTCCCTCTCTCTCTCTGTTTCCCTCCCCCTCTCTCTCTCTCCCTCCCCCCTCTATATCTCGCTCTTTCCCTCTATCTCCCTCTCCCCCTCTCTTTCCCTCTCTCTCCCTCTCCCTCCCCCTCCCTCTCACCCTCTCTCTTTCCCTCTCTCTCCCCCCTCTCTCTCTCTCTTTCCCTTTGCTTCACTTATCTTCACTATGTCCTGACAGTGTTAAATTCTCCAAGATTTCTTTCCTGATGATGCGTCCCAGAAATTTTAACCGTCTCTTTCTGATTCTTCATTTGTAACCACAATTTTCTTAAAACGTCTTTTTCGTCCATGGTATTCTCACCATCCTTCTGTAGAACCGCATTTCCGTTGCTTCAAGTCTCCTCTTCATCTGTGAGGAAATTGTCCAGCATTCACTACATATACGAGAATTGATATTACATAGTAGTTCAATATGACTTTCTTTGTTTCTAACGACGTTTTCCATTTCAGTAACACTTTGTTTAATAATTACAATTTGAATGAGTAGAATTTGTTACAGAACCAGACTAGAAACAGAGCAACAATAATGTGGATGTGTTGAAGGCGCTAGAACAAGAAATGCAATTTTTGTAATCAACATGCTACCAAAGCGAGAAACAGTAGTGTAAAACGATCTATGCCTATGGTTCATAGATAACAGAAAGGCATTCTACATAGCACGACACATTGAACTCTTTAAAATATTAGGAAAGCTTGATCTACACGGAAAAGATTTTCAGTAATCTGTGTTGATAATAAACAGCTTGTATAAGGTTAGAGACCGTAACCTACGAGTAACCTACTTGATAAGTTTGAGTAAATGGTTCGACGAACGAGTATTAAAAAGAACGGTTACAGAAGGGATAAGAATCATTTCAAAAGATATGGCACAGAGAGAGAGAGAGAGAGAGAGAGAGAGGGTCATATTTTTATGCAATTTTTTCTTCGACTTACATAAAAATAGGTACCTCCATCAGCATAGTATCATGAAAAAAACGCCAAACTTGAAAACAAAATTTTATCATCTAAATGTTTTTATTATTAAGAGGAAAGATCTAAGTATTTTTAGGGTATTTTTTACATTTTTTAATCGTTCCTAGCACGTCCAAAATTTTCGTTAAAAATCTTGTTTTTTTTTTTGAGTCAGCAAAATTGACAGATAACCAATCAAGTCAACCATTTTTTTTCCATTTTATGAAAAAAATGAAAATCTCAGTTTGAAATTCTTTTAAAAATCAATTATAATTTTTTCAAAACTTATTTTTAAAAATATCAGAAACTATAATGTCTATTTAAAATATTTTGAAACAAGCATTTTTTTAGTTTCTGCACCGAAAAGATGTAGTTTGAAAATAAAACAAAGCAGATCATAACATTTCGCGTCACTTGACAAGTGATGAATGACGTATTGACAGATTACCAGAGGATAATTTATTCTACGGAAGGAGAGAAGTGAAATTATTTAGATTTAAATGAACAAATTATTTACCTCGTTATTTTTAAGGAAAACTTTCAGCGCTCTAATTTTTTTTTTTTTTTTTTGTACTTAGCTTTCACCTTTAGGTTTACGATGCTTTATGGAAAATATATTATAAAGAAATTAAAATAAGACTGTTAAGAGTGAGATTAAATTTCATAAGAAAGGTATCTAATTAATTTATAGATGCCTTTTTTATGAAATTTTATCAGAAGTGTACATAAAATACTATAATTTTATGTACATTTATTACATTTTACTGTGTTATTTGTATTTCCATTCATTTTATTATTAATTTTTATATTTCATTTATGGAAAAATGTCATAACTGAGATTAATATAAAAATAAGATCATATAAATTTCATAAGATGATACTGATACCTGTAGGTACCCTTCTCAGTTGAAATTGAAAAATCAAATTAATTTCTTCACGCGTGTTTCGCAAAAGTAAAGGCCTTGAGAGCGGAGAACAATGCTTAACTCAAATAACAAAACTTAATTGTACTCTGGTTGGTATTCCGTACTTTGTAATTACAGCCCTATTATAAACACAAAATTACATTTCTTAATTACTGCGGATCTTCTGATTAGTCAAAACGATACAATTTACAACGCGCTAAAAAAAGATCTATCTCAAAAGGACATTTACAAAATTCAATGAAGCTTATAACTAATTTTATAATATTTTAACAACTTAAATGTAAAAATCTATTATAATTAAAGAAATAACAAACAATTGTATTAAAAATTCATTTTTCATCGAAAATTTTTTTTGCTTTCAGAAAATATTGTCTATATTCATAAAAAAAAACGAAAAGCAAATAAAAGCATTTGAAATTAAATAATATTTTTATTGAGTTTTGTATGTTACAATTCAGAGCTGATTTTCAGGTTGGGCGGAGGTTCCAATTTAAAAAAAATACATGATTTGCTTTCCTCAAAGCCTTGTGATTTTAACTAATATAATCACTAAACTGAATGCGACTGAATTTCTAGAGTTTTCATTATTTAGGGGTGGGGGGTAACAAATATAAAAAAATATTTTCTTCCATGATTTTAAAAAAAAAAATATATTTATAATAACTTCCATCATTTGTGAATAGTTTCTGAAAGTTTCATTAACATCTGACAATTATTTTTATTTTTGTAAGATTTTCCAAATTGTCTGTCATACAAAAAAAAAAATAAACGTGCTAAAAATTCGTTATTTCACTAGTTTTCATGAAGGTACCTACATAATATCAAGGCTTGTAAATAAACTAGAATCTTTGGGTGTTAGCAAAAGGAACAAACAAAAGTATTAATTACATATGGGGGACGTAAAAATCAAACCGGTGCGGAAATTTAATTATTTAAGTATTATATTAACCGACGACATAAATTATGACATGAATCTTTAAGTGTCGCCTTTGTGAACAGAGCTTCGTTCTGGAAGGAGTCTACGAGATCCGAGGAAGTATAGTCTTCTTTAAAAATTGCGAGCGTACAACGTTCATTCGCTATTTTAAAGTATTCATTTGAGAAAACTATTGGATATAGGTAAAAGTTTAGGACTATCTGAACGAGATGGATGTCATGCATAACATCCATACGATAGTCTAGATATGATGAGGCTATTTAAGAACGACCAATGTTTACCTATGACCTTAAATATAAACTCGACAAAGTTTATGGCTGAGATGGAAAACTTTCAAAATGAAAACAATTCAAAACGTAGAGTAATATTACACGTATATTTGTTTTATATATATATAAAGAACATCAATTCAAAAGCGAATGCATACTTGCGTGTAGACAGATCGCTGAAAAAAGAATAACATTTTCATCCATTGCTATTAGAAGATATGTGCTTGTGTGTGTGTGTGTGTGTGTGTGTGTGTGTGTGTGTGTGTGTGATGAGCCACACGGCTGGCTGAAATTAAGTAGACGGCCTGCCGCGGAAGAAATCTACTGTCGAGAGATGTCCTTTTCTTTTGTTTGTTCGCTACTGCATTTCGAATTTTAAAAAATGGAAAGGGCTTTATTGCGTTGTCCGTTTATAATCTTGAACAGCGCCAATTAGTGGACATCTTGGCAAACAAGGGGAGGCTTATCAACAGAATATACAAATTCAAATATAAATCGGATTAATGTTTATTTATAAAGTATAAACCCGAGCAGCGTTTACCTATAGACTCAAGTGTAATAATATACATAGTATATTATCTAGTGTCAAGTATAATTTTAAAAAAAAATCAATATTTTGATAATAAATAACCGAACAAGGGTTGATATTTCGTAAAATCGACCCACCCACCCAACCAAGCTTCTGCCAATGCCAGGACCCGAAATTATTGAAGCAATCTCGTATATACGCGCCGCTACCCAAAGGTTCTGAAAATTGGAACAGCGTACAGGGACTGAAATTTTGCCGCCATACTTTGTGATTAGTAGAGTTCAGATTTGTTTAAATATTCCCAAAGGGACTATTTCGAAGTAGACTGTGCTGAGCAGGTGTTATAATTTTTATGGTCAAATTCTTCGAAACGTAGCACCTGACATCCGGTCCCTAAGAGCGAAAACGATTTAAATATGCACTTGGGGGGTGAAGAAAAGCCCTGTATTAAACTTCACAGTATACGATTAACTTTTTTCTATAAGAGTCGATATGCCATAAAGTCTGTAATAAACTGCTAACAAAACTCAATAAAAGAATGTGTATGCGTGCCTATACATGTGTGTTTATGCCTGTGTGCGTGTCTGTGTGTATGTGTTAGATTATCCTACAAACTTGACGATCGACATACAGGCCAGCCGTCCAGATCCACCCACCAGTCAATCTATCTTACAAGTCTTGATGTATATGCTTTCCCTGTTCTTTATGTTCTGACCTAAACAAAGACGCCAAAGAAATTGTCTCATCGATCTGGAGTGACTACGGACAATATCGATCCACCATGGATTATGATCGCTTAATTGAACGCCAACGTTGTCACCCCATATCCCAAACAAAGAACTTCTCTACGTCTGTCATCGCTGTTCGTCGTCAGCCTAGCCAGCTTCTCGCCGGGACCCTCGACGTTTTCACGGAACAGGTTCTGATTCCAAATGCTGCAGCTTCGAGCTTACTGCCTTGCAGTTTGCATAAAGCGGTCGCCGGTTGGGAGGGATGTCAGTAAACTGAGATCGAGTAGCGTTAACAGATGAGATAAAAAATATATATTGGGACGGAAAAATCGCTCTCGAATTTCGAGAGCCGAACATCTAGGCTATTTATAACTAAGAGTTTTATTACCTGAATGAATCATAATGATTTTAGTTTGAACAATTTTATACCCTTTTACGAACGGTAGAAAACAGTTAGGGCAATGCTGCGCAAGTCCCATTCATTTTAACATTTATGCGCAGGACTGGACAGTTTATGACCATATATGGTAGCAGTACTCGAAAGGTAGTGGAGTCAGGTACTTACTGAAGCGGTACAGGAAACCTAACATTTTCCCAGCATCTTTAGCAATGGATTGTATGTACGAGCCCCACTTGAGTTCTCGGATGAGTTTAAGGCCCCATAGGCGCTTAAATCAGGGGGTCTCCCTGAAGAAACATCCATCGTGAGTTGTGTTAGTTCAGGGTTAGTATCAATAAATCTTTCCTGCAACCTTGAATGTGAGGGGGATGTAATGGATAACAGGTCCGAAATTTTAATTGGAGAGACGAGTTCAGTTCCAGTTG